TGCTGTTCGTCGCGTTTGGCATTTGAAGTCAAAGCTGGAAGTTTCAGCGAATAATAAATTAACTTTCCTGTGAAGCCATTGGAATCCGTGAAATTTTTAGTCCTATAGCTCGTGGTTGATGACTGGTTCTTGGTCAAAATTTGTTAATTATGTATTCACCATTTCGCGTCACACGAAAAATGACCCTCAGTTTGACTATCTCGAATGACTCAACAGGATGCTTCTCACCTCTGCGATGTTGTCCGTACTTTTGAATAGAAATTTTCAGGACGGCTCTTTTATTTTCCTGTATGAGGAAAACTATGCAGTAGCCTAGTGGTAATGTGAATATGGGCGTGTTCAAAGGTATTTCTGAGAGTCTCAATTCTTCTTGGTCCACGGCAATCCCTTGGTTTGTTTTCTTTACGCTGGTACAAAACCGAGAGCAATGCAATTCCGCATCTACGAAAGTACCTTGCTAGAGATGCCCCTGATTCAACCAATGGGCAGTGTCCTGGCAATGAATTGCAGGCCAAAAATGTCTCGGACGGATTTTCTCTCAGGTGTTTTATGAGCCATCTGCCCATTTAGCTTGTATTCTGTATAAGGAATATTGCCTTGGTTGTGTCTTTATCGTATATGAACCACAAGCCTTCCTTTCTCAAGTCGTTCATTAATTAATTCAATGATTCAGTTGCCATCGTTGTCCAACCTCACGGATGCCTGTGTGTCTTTTTGTGCATGTAGGCTTCTTCTAGAAGGTCGTTCTTATGGAATGAGACTTCCAGGAATGGAAGCCTTCCATTGGCTTCCACTTTCTGGGTCAATTGCATCCTCCCCTGGATATCGTTCACCTCTTCCCAGAAGTCGTCAAGCTGTTTGCGTCCACGTGGCTACAGGACTCAAGTGTAGTCACGTATCTATACCACATGTACAATGCGCCGCTGCTTCCAGTGTTACTTCTTCGAATTTTCTGGCAGTTTCGAATACCGTACATCCATTCAGGTCGCGAAGGCAGACTCGTCAGACAGTATCTCCAATGTTCCCGATCTTGAGCCACTGTTTGAGGTTCGGTAGAAGATAACCGCAGTCTGAAGCAGAATCCTTCCATACACTTGCTCCAGGATTTTCGTGGCCGTCTCTGGGCCTTCGGCCGGTCGGTGGGCGAGAAGTAGTTGCATTCGCATTCTTCTCATTATTCCGTGCATAATACATGGAACAATTAAAGATATAGGTGATCACACGGCACAAGCGGTCTGTTTATCGCATAGTGTTTAAACTGCCAAAAAATTTTATTGAATTTAGATACATGCACACGGCCTGGCCAAGGTCTTCTTTTCTCCAATCGAATGCTAGAAGGGGTTTTTCTCTGCTATGAGCCGATGTTCTGTGATATCCGCGTATGTGTGGTCAGCATGCTGGTGAAAGGGGAAGACGATGTCAGAGCCTGGCATGAAGGTATTCGGTTCTAGTTGCCTCCCGTGGTC